GTATCTGCAGCTATTTCAATGAACTAAATTCCACTAAATTAGCGGAATTTCAACAAAATAAATTAAAATATATTAAAATAAATTAAAATAAATTAAAATAAAATAAAAATAAAATAAAAAAAATAAAAAAAATAAAATAATTTTGCTTACCTAGGCCGACGGCTTGAGCGAGCAGTTGGGGTGTATCTGCAGCTGCCTGTGCAGCCATCTTCATCAGCATTTGTGGTTCATCAGAAATAAAAATAATTAAAGGAAAAAGAAATAAAGCATTTAGCATATTATAAAACATACAGAGAGGCTCAGCTCGAGCAGAGGGAGAAGGGGATGGGTTTATGTTTGTATCTGTGTTTTCTATATCTTCGTTTTCTTTTTTTTCTTTTTCTTTTTTTTCTTTTTTTTCTTTTTCTCTTTCTTCGTCTTCTTTATCATATATTTGTATTTCATCACCAACCAAAGAGGGAGCAGACTCCAGCTCCGCCAGGTTCTCTAAACGTCTCTGCTGCTGCTGCTGCTGGTTGCTGCTGCTGCTGCTGCTGCTGCTGCTGCTGCTGCTGCTGTGTGGTGAGTTTATAAAGCGCCATGGGGGGCTGCTTGCTGCTGCAGATGTTTCTAGGTCTATTACTGTGCTGCGGGTGGAGGGTGAGGCAGATGAGCTCCTCCTCCTATGCTGCTGCTGCTGCTGCTGCTGCTGCTGCTGCTGCTGCTTCTCTTCATCTGCTGCTGCTGCTGCTGCTGCTGCTGCATTTGTTGGTGATGGTGATACTATGTCTGCTGTTGCTATATCTCCCGCTGGATCATCGTTTGTAAGCACCTGATAGGCAGCTGTTTGTTGTTTATATAAATTACTATAAACACTGCTGATTCCGTTTCTGCTGCTGCTGCTGCTGCTGCTGTTGCTGCTGCTGCTGCTGCTGCTGTTGCTGCTGCTGCTGCTGTCGTTTTGAGCCTGAATAAAGAGAAGAGTGGACTTCATCTGCACTGTATATACAGCTTGAAATAGAGATGCTGCTGCACCCAACATAAACCCCCAAAAAAACTGTTTATTAGGGCCTATCGCCGTCATAAGAGCGAATCCAACAGCAACAAGTATGCATGCAAATACTTCTATTTTATTTATTTTTTGTTTTAAATAAAAAAAAGATAATAAAAGAGAAAAAACTAAAGTAAGAGAACGAGCAGACTGNTTATTTTTTGTTTTAAATAAAAAAAAGATAATAAAAGAGAAAAAACTAAAGTAAGAGAACGAGCAGACTGATATACACTAACCTGTACACGCTGCAAGCATAGATTAGATGCCCCTATCATCCCGACAAAACAAATAGATAAAGGAAATATATTTATTATAAAACGCAAACGAAAACGAACCAAAGGGAATGCTGCATGCAGAGCTCGGCTTACAGCAGCACAACCCCTCCAGCTCCTGCTGCTGCTGCTGCTGCTGCTCCTGCTGCTGCTGCTGCTGCTGCTGCTGCTGGTGCTGGTGGTGGTGTTGCAGCGGAGAAAAGAAACAAGAAGAGAAAGAAATAAATACAACAACAACCCCACCGCCTGCTGAAACCAAGACAACAAAAGAGGTATAGGTAGATTCCCCCCTATTAAATGTTTCATCCAAAAAACAGTTAAAATAGATAAAAATATATAACAAACAAGAGCAGTGCATGCACGCCATATGCGAGAAATAAACTCATAACAATACCAGCTTTCTATACTCCTCCTGCTGCTCCTGCTGCTGCTGCTGCTGCTGTTGTTGCTGTTGTTGTTGCTGCTTCTTATCATGCTGCTGCTGCTCCTGGTGCTCCTGCGCACGTTGTTGCTGCTGCTGTTGCTGCTTATGCTGCTGCTAGCTGTGCTGCTGTTGCTGCGGCTGAGGTCTGCTGCTGTCTCCACCATAGAAGACATCTCGCTGGGGGCCC